AGTGGTGTTTTTTTAAAATAACCCCCCCCCCATGCTTCATGGGGGAAACTTCATAAGTCATCAACTTTTGATGATTCACGAAGTGGGATGACTCGCCAAAATTGAGACATCCCCACTTGTGACCTAAAAAGACATTCCTCTGTTTAAACCAGTGACAAAATGATTTGATCACATTGGTACAAATAAGAGGCTAACTGCCATTGCAATTAATGACAGTGTTGGTGTCAATGAAAATCTATAATCTTCTCAAAAATAGTTTTTTTCTTTTAACATGGCACAGAATATGTTGTATTTCTTACGTTTCTTTTAACTTACTTTTTTTTACTAGATAAAAAGGCAAAAGCAGTGATGGACAGACATGAGAGGTTCAAAAATTGAAAATGCCGTTTAAGATAGCCAGCCTGTGCAATCTTGGACCAGTTGCACAGTTCCTCCTGTAGAATTCCATTAATGAGAGCACAACTACATAGAAAAAGCATTGTCTGGAAGCAGTCTAAGAATGCAAACATGAAACATATCCTAATATTTAACATTTTGTACAACTTGGAAAACACAAAAATAAAATTTCAAAACACATATATTTTACTTGTGTGTATAGGCATTTTGGCTGAAGTTTCCAAACTTTTTTTAAGAAAAACCTTTTTGGAATGTAGTTTGTGTATTTTGTTTCTTGGCTTGTAAACCAAAAATGCCACATTCCTTTCTATGGCATTTAAATGTGTAAGTTAAAATAGATTATTCTTTCAGTTTATGACATATTGCATATTTTAAAAAATCTACCAAAGTAACAAAGAGAAAAGCTAAGGTATTGTCTCATCCTGTGAATCAAAACCTGTTATGGAAGTGAGCTCATTTGAAATAATTTTTTTGTTGTTGGTAAGGGAGAGGAAACATATGTGAGTAATCTGATTAAAAAGGCAAAAAAAAAAAAATGAGGGTAAGTTAAAAGCACTCACCATCTTTACAGACTAGACCAACTACACAGAGACCTGTATCCAGGATATAGCCATTTGGACAACTTGTGCAGTTTTTCTCTCCTGGACCACTACATCCAAAACAGCTGGCATCACATCTTAAGGAGGAAAAAGCAGGTTTTATATTTGGTTAAATTTGGATGTTAGAATCACCCAATAGTATAATCAAACAGTGCTTGATTTCTTCAGTTTCATATAAAGATAACTTTGAGACTCTAAAAGGCTGATAAGAAGAGAAAGTAGAGCAGAAAGCATAGACACATTGAAAGAACATAGCCATCTCACCTTTGTTCGCCTTCAAAAACATTTGGACTTTGTTCTGTGGAATTCTCTGCTATAAAGTTTATTCTCAGACAAGGAACACTCTACATAAGGCTAAGTCAGAAGTTAGTTAGACAAGAGCTATTGAAATCAGTAAGATCTGGGAGCCATAACTATGAATGTACTCTGTTGGGCCTACTCAAGGTAAGATTAATGGAAGATTTAACTTAAAATTTTTAGCATTGCTGCCAAACTAAACCCTATACAGAAACCCTGGTTCCCAGCGTATAGACATGGGATGGACACCACCACTAGAGATAAATCTTAACTTATCAAAATTAAGTGATCAAAATTAAGATGTTCATTAAGGATTTTTAAAATAGGGAATTCAAGATATGCTTTTCAGATGATAATACAAGGTCGCATAATTGCAGAATTCTTAAATATTCAGGACTATAGAGGGTTATTTTCAGTTTTCAATATTTAAGAGGTTCTTCCCCAGTCAAGCAAGCTCTCAGTAGCTTCTCCCCCCAGAGCACATTTCCTTAACCTTCATCCTAGCCAAGCACTCACAACCAGGAATAGATGCTGTCTCCCTTTATCTCAAGTTCTTTCTTTTGTATATGGCTTCTAGATGTTTCAAAACTTACCTGCTAAATGTATATGCAAAGGCTTTCACGGCCGGGAACTAAGGATTGTTGTGGGTTTTTCGGTCTCTTTGGCCATGTTCTGAAGGTTGTTCTTCCTAACGTTTTGCCAGTCTCTGTGGCCAGCATCTTCATAATGCCACCAAAGAGCCCGAAAAACCCACAACAACCATTACCTGCTAAAGTTCTCCTTTTAGTCATATCTGTTTGCAGCCTCCTGATCATATGTTTTATCATTACTGTCTGCTTGAAGCTTCTCAACGACTTCATAGGATCCTCTTTTCAACCATAGCCTTCTTGTTCTCCTCAGCCATGGTCATCAAGTCCTAGCAGTGTTCTCACAGTGTAAAAGGCCTGTTGCCTTGTTTCATAGCTGTGACCTCTGCTATCTCTGGTCACTAATTCTAGTTTTCAAGTATTTTCCCAACTAACAATCGACTGTACCCAACAGATCAGCTTTGTGACTCATCTTTTACGCTCTCCTAATTGGAACCTCTGAGCTGAAAGTACAATCTGCCTCCATTAGTACCACTGACTTCTATGAATGTGGGCATGATTGACAATTATACAGAAAAGCAGTTACAGAAACTGTAGCCAACTATATTCAAAATCCAGCTTTGTGGAAGCATTTGGAATATATTTGTTTTAGTAAAGCTGGTGACACTCTCCACATTGCAGCTCAATTTCTTAATCCTTTATGGAAGCAGGGATATTCTGCCACCACACCCTTTCTAGGACAGGAATGGGCAATCCCTATCCATCTCATGGCTTCCCTATCCATTTTGCACTTCAGAGAGACCCACTATCAGAGCCAATCTTATTTCTTACTTTAGTAGAAGTAAGAAGAAGTGGACTCCTCTTTAAACAATGAATGCAGTCCCTTGGTACTTTTAGAGAAACTAAACCCACTTTCTAGTCATACATTCCCATAGCTGCAGATCATGCTTGGCAATTCAAGTGCATTGAAGCTCCGTGACTCCCTCTTGTTCTTAGATTCTGCTTTTGTCTACCAAAACAATGACAAACTCATCCTCCTATTATGTTAGAAATATAATATTATATTAGAAAGGGAAGAAGGTCAGTTTTCCCCTTGGGCCTTTTTTTGACTTCTAAGAACTACTTAAATTGAAGCATAATTGCCACAGTTCAATTTACTCTTTGATGGAAAGGCATCTTTAATTCCATCATGAGCAGGCAAGATCTCTATTGCTTCTCTAGTGTCAATACCTCTCTTTTGTGGTCTCACGCATGCAAATAATGTATGTTTCATCTCTCCTAGCACTTAATATCTTAGATGTATGTATGTATGTATGTATGTATGTATGTATGTATGTATGTATGTATGTATGTATGTATGTATGTATGTATGTATGTATGTATGTATGTATATTAGAGTGTATGTATGTATGTATGTATGTATGTATGTATGTATGTATGTATGTATGTATGTATGTATGTATGTATATTAGAATTCATATTAAAAGTTCACATTAAATTAACACGTGAAAGTTACATCTATATACCTTGAAATGAATCATGCCAGCAACATATTTTTCATTAACCATTGGTCACACATGAAACAGGTACATTTATACATTTGATTTTAAAAAATGCACTAACCTTTTGCAAGTTTTGTATCCGTTTTCTAGTGACTGGTCAAAATAATACCCATTGTTACAGGCCAGCACACATCTTCCATTCTCCATAAGGTACTCTTCCGTGCAATTTAGGCAAGCATCAGGTCCTGGGCCTCAAAAACCAACAAAACAGATAAAGTAACATATTGACATATCCTTAACAGAGGAGAAGATTCATCTTACTGTACTTTGATGTTCAAGTGATTAACTATAATTTAAGGCTACCACATGTCTGCTGGACCCTTGCCTTTCCTGGCTTATAAAAGCTGGCAGAGAGGGACTGGTTGAGTAGATAGGAAAAGGGATAAATGCCTCCTTGCAACAGGGCAGGGTCTCAGCATGCTTAAATGAGGCAATCATAAGACCATTTTTGAAAAAGCCTTCTTGGATCCCAAAATATTGAACAATTACTAACCAGTCTCTAATATTCCATTCCTGGGCAAGGTGCTGGAGCAGGTTGTGGCTTCTCAGTTCCAGGGGTTCCTGGATGAGACAAATTATCTAGATCCATTTCAGTCTGGCTTCAGACCTGGTTATAGAACCAAGACTGCTTCGGTCAGCTAAGTGGACAATTTATGCCAGGACCTGGACGGGGGAAAATGTGTCCCTGTTGGTTCTGCTGGCCCTTTCAGTGGCTTTTGATATTGTCAACTATGGTATCCTCTAGGCCAGTCTCTCTGGGATAGGACTTGGAGGCAATGTGGCTCCGGTCTGTCTTGGAGGAAAGAACTCAGAAGATGGTGCTGAGAGACTCCTGTTCAACACTCTGAGCACTGACTTGCATGGCCCCTCAGGTTCTGTTTTGTCTCCCATGTTATTTAACATCTACATGAAACTGCTGGGAAAGGCTGTCCAGAGTTCTGGAGTTCAGTATCACCAATATGTAGATGATAGGCAACTCTATTTCTTCTTGCCATCTATATGGCGGCCATTTTCGCTGCCCGGTAAGCGAGGAATCTGGGCCAAAACACAACGGGTGGCCATTTTGCCATCTTCTCCGCTCCAGCCCCTCCCCCTCCCTACCTCACAGGCAGTGGAAATGTGGCTTTGCTTTTGTCTACCGTGGCTTACTTTTACATCAGTTTGTTTGGAGAATGCCACTGTCACAGATAAAAAATGCAGTTTAAAACCAAATAAAAATACAGTGGTGCCTCGCTTAACGGGTGCCCCGTTTAATGACAAATCCGCATAGCGATGAAGATTTTGAAAATGCACCTCTGAAAGCCCCGCTTGTCGCAGGGGGGCACGAGGGCGGGCGCTGGGGGGTGGCGGGCCTGCCCCTGCCACCCCCCACCCCCACCCCACTTTCAGAGGCTTCCCCAGTGCATTTTCACTGCCTGTTTACCTGCTGGGCAAGCCTAGGGAAGCTTCTAAGAGCAGTGCCGATCAGTTGTGAGGTGGGGAGGGGGAGGGGCTGGAGCGGAGAAGATGGCTCCCGGCTCTTTTCTGGAACGATCGCTTCCCCCCCCCATCGCGAACACTGTTTTTGCACAGCTGATCGGCGGGCCTTTGCCGAGATTGCTGGCCCCACCGATCAGCTGTGCAAAAATGGGGCATTTGTGATGATGGGGGGGGGGAAGCCATCATCGCAAAGCGATTTTTCCCTATAGGGCAGTGGTCCCCAACCTTGGGCCTCCAGATGTTCTTGGACTTCAGCTCCCAGAAATCCTGTCCAGCAGAGGTGTTGGTGAAGGCTTCTGGGAGTTGTAGGCCAACATCTGGAGGCTCAAGGTTGGGGACCACTACTATAGGGAACATTGCAATGCAATTGCAAAAGCGATCGCAAAATCTTCATCGCTATGTGGGTTCGTCGTATATATAAGCTGTCTTGTTTTTTTTAAGGAGAAAGGTGAGGTAAAATATTTTAAATAAAATAATAAACAACTGAAAACATATTGGATGGAATAAAGAAAGCCATATGTGGATCACTCCCATGTGAGCCAACACTCTTCCACATGTGCACTGATGGCTTTGCAGGCTTCTTATTCATCACAGCACTGCATCTTTTCCCAAACACTGAGGAGCCTTTTGAAGTGACCTCCAATGCTACATATGGAGTTGTAGTTGGAAAGTGAAACTGAGCTAGCCCCAGTGCATCTCTGCAGATGCAAATTATAAGAGATAGCAACCAGAGGTTCTCTTCCTATGAAATTTCATTTTGTTGGAGTGAGTTTGAAACTTCAGTTTAAATTACTAATTGCAACAAGACAGCTTGTGACAGACACTTCTATTGATTGATTGATTGTCATTATTCAGTTTTGTCAGGATAAGGAACAATGATCCATAAAGACTTTGCACAAGTTATTTTTATGCAAAATTCCACATACTGAAATTGTCATCTCATAACTGATGGAAACGTGCACAATGTAATATTTTAATTCATATTGTGATTTCCTTATAAAAATAAGTTTTGGAAACTCTAACATAATAGTACCTCTTTGTATATAAGTCTCCTGATGTATAAATAAGTCATTATCTTAAAATACAATATTTCTTTTGCATCTATTTAAACAGTGACCCCTAAGAGGGTTGCAGGTTGCCTTATATGTGTAGCCCTTGTTACATTTCTTCCTTGACATTACAGAGTGGAATGTTAAAGTTAGCATGTACGTGTACATATGAGAAACAGGCCCTTTGAGGGGAGAAAGAAACCTCTACTTTCTGAGAAGCAATGACTTCACCCCATTAAAAATGGCTTTTTATGCAAATGTGGTAGGGGATTGTAGGTTACATGAGTATTATAAAATGGTGTTGTGACAGTGGTTGGGGACCACTGTATTGAAACTATCACAACATTCTGTAAAGTTGGATAGGTAGCAGAGGTGGAAGCTCCACCGTGCATGAACAGGAAATACTATGCTTTATTTCAAGAGGGATTAAATTGTTCAACCAATTCAAAAATATCAGAGATACCTGCACAAGAAGCGCATGAATGGTGGCATGGTTCACAGTCTCTGCCATTATAATATTTCCCTTCTTCACAACGAATAACACATCTGGAACCTTGTAAACTACACAGAAACACAAAGATTATATAGCAGTTAGTTGAAAGCAAATAAGTAGAAGGTTTCAGCATACCACATTCAACATAACTTTTTTCAAATGTACTTTATCAAAGCCTCATTGTTTACAAATGTGGTTATAGTTAAAGCATTATATCCCAGTCCTAAGAATACTCATCATAATACGCCAAAAGTCATTCATGCATAAGTTAATTTAAAGCAAAGGAACTAGAGTATGGCATTTGGTGTATGTGTGTTTTTACATCACTTCCACAGCCTTCTAACAGGAAACAGAGCTTTAAAAATGAATATGAGACAGAGTAACAATTAATGGCCTAGGACTTCAGATGCTGGCTGATATAGTAAAAACAGGAAATCAGAAAGCATTGTACCTGTGGCATTATATCACCTTAATAAAAGAAACTTGAACGCTCTTTTACTGCACAAACTGATTGGTACACTATGTCTTTTTAGAAATACCAGGTATCAAACACCATTAAAAATGTTGTAAACATGACAAATGTAGCACATTGTTACATTGATCCAAGCAAATTTCAAAACAAAATGAAACAAAGATTCCAATTATTTTAGTTCCAGTAGCAAAACATTTTATGTTAGTTAAATAGTAATACAAACAAAACAGATTTGTTACAGTCTATTCATATGTACTAGTGTTGTTGTCAACTTTTTAGTGCAAAAAATGCCATTTAAAGGTTCAAAATATCATAAAGCTGCACAATCTCCTCTTTTATACATTTTTTTCTTATTCTTGTCTGCAGTTGTCCTTCAACTCTGACTTCACCAGTAATAAAGAGACCGTCACTGATGATTCATCTAGGAAAATGCCTTCTTCATCTCATTGAAAGCATGCACTAAATGCACCTTGAGATAGTTACTTGTGAATGTGGATGCATGTTTGGATTAGAAACTGGATTTTTCTCACTGTGTTGCTTTCAAAAATTACTTAGCTCTTCATTACTGCACTGTACATCCCAGCCAAGGGAGCTTCAGCTGGGTTACCTATGTGGGTCTAAGACAATTTGTCAGAAGGGGGCTTATATGGTAATGGACAAAATGTGCCCCCAGTTGGCTCACATTGAATCAAAACTGGTGATACTCTACAAGAGATGGCTTAGAATGTTATCAAATGACTTCTGAGCTGCCCAAAGCAACCAGAAAATTTATTACTGATCTTGTCAGCATTAAGAAGAACAGGTTACTTACCTGTAAACATGGTTCTTCAAGTGGATTCTCTATGAATCCACACTGGTGGGTTAAACAGCGCCTGCGCTGGTTCCCCTCAGAATTTTCTAGAGCTATGAGGAAAAAGATACAAAGTTTAGGTTGCCCTGCACTGCGCAAGTGCAGCCCGCCAAAAATCCCCAGTTCCATATGCCCGCACATAGAGAGAGTTGGAACTCAATCAGCAGTGACGGGCACATGGGGAGGTTGGGCAGGTCGTGTGTATTCATAGAGAATCCACTTGAAGAACCATGTTTACAGGTAAGTAACCTGTTCTTCTTCAACATGGTTCTCTATGAATCCACACTGGTGGGTGACTACCATGCTACTTACAGGATGGTGGGCCGTCACTGAAGCAGTGAAGTAAGTACAGCCCTCCCGAATCTGGTCTCATTCTTGGCCCTGAGGTCCAATCTGTAGTGCTTGATGAAGGTAGACACACTGGACCAGGTAGCTGTTCTACATATGTCGGGGATGTCTACCCCTCGCAGCAGGGCCGTAGATGTGGCAACAGCTCTGGTAGAGAGCACGAAGTCCTTCAGGGAGAGGCTTTTCGTAGGCCAGGGAAATGGGGGAATTCGTAGGCCAGGGAAATGGGGAAAACCAGCCACCTGGACAGGGTAGATGATGAGGCAGCAGACCCTCTATGTTGACCGTAGAAACATAAAAAGAGTCTTTGGACCTTCCTAAAGTCCTTGGTCCTTGTAACATAAAAGGACAATGCACGTCGAACATCCAAACAATGGAGCATGCGCTCAACTTCTGAAGTAGGATTAGGAAAGAGTGTTGGTAACAACAATGGCTGATTAATATGAAACTCTGAAACAACTTTGGGGAGAAAGGAAACATATGGATATATGACCACCTTGTCCTTAAAGAACTGTAGGTATGGGGCATCTGCTCGGAGTGCCGCCAGCTCGCTGGCTCTGCGGGCCGAAGTGATTGCAACTAGAAATAGGGTCTTAAAAAACAAAAACTTGAGGTCGCAAGTAGCCATAGGCTCGAAAGGAGGACGAGTAAGGGAATGCAGTATGAACTGTTATGACCATTGAGGTAAGGGCCTTTTCACAGGGGGTCTCATATTTGACAGACCCTTGAAGAATGCCTTCACAGTTGGATGGGAGAACCATTTAGATGATTGAGATCCCTGGGGTTGAAAAGTCATTATAGCTGATGTATAGACCTTCAAAGTGGACTTGGTAAGACCCAAGTCAAATAGATGCCGAAGGTACAGTAACAGCGTAGACAGTGATACTGGCGAAGGTTGCAGTCCTTGCTCCGCAGCAAACTTCAGGAACCCTTGCCATTTGTGTTGATAAAGGTGAATAGTTGATGGTTTTCTTGCTTTATCAATCACTTCCTTAATCGATGAGAAATCCTCCATGCTGTCAAGTGGAGAGATTCCACATCCAGATGAAAGATCGACCCTGAATCCTGAGTGATTAAGTGTGGGAGCAGGGGAAGTTTCATCTTGTCCACGGCCGTCTGTAGAAGTAGAGAGAACCAGGGCTGTCTGGGCCACCAGGGAGTAATTAGGATTGCTTCCACTCTCATCTGTAGGGCCCTGACAAGAGATCTCTGAACAATGGGAATGGGAGGGAACATGTACAGGAGGCCCTTGTTCCAAGGGATCATGAAAGCATCTCCTAACGACCCCTGGCCTCTCCCTGCACAAGATGCATATTTCTGACACTTCTTCTTGTTCAAAGTGGCAAACATATCGATGTAGGGAGTCCCCCACTTGTAGCATATTGCTTGGAATACACCCAGGTCTAACTCCCACTCGTGGTTCTGAGAAGAGCGACGACTCAGTTTGTCCGCCACTAGGTTGTCCGTGGTGGAGATGTGTATGGCCACAGGGTACATATGTTCCTGGTAGCACCACTCCCAAAGATGTATTGATAGAAGGAGAAGGGACTTCGATTTCGTCCCGCCTTTCTTGTTCACATAGAACACGGTAGTGGTGTTGTCCGTGACCAGCTGAATTGCCCTGTCTCGCACAAGTGGAAGGAAGGTCTTGAGTCCCTTTAGCTGTCAGATGGAGAGGGTGGAAAGGGCGCCCTACTAAGAGGTGAGGTTGGAAAGTCCACCACTGCAGCTGTTGTGACAGCTCCGGGGTGACAGTCAGGAGCTTGTTTTGACTGTTGAGGAGTGGATTGAAGAGGGACAGCATCCAAGTTTGAAGGGAACGCATCTTGAGGCGAGCATGAGACAGAGTCGCCGTTGTAGAAGCCATGAGGCCTAACAGGTGTTGTGCAAGACTTGCTTTTACTCTTGCTTTGGGCCTGAATCTTTTTATGGCTTTGTTCAATTTCTGGATGCGTTCTGGAGGCATGAACATCCGAGCGTGTACTGAGTCTATTCTCGCTCCGATGTAGTCCACCACCTGAGAGGGATCGAGTTTGGACTTTTCGTAATTTATAGTGAGACCCAGTGACTGCAACGTCTGGAG